TTTAATTTTAAGTTTATTTTTTTTAAGTCTACTTGTATCAGGATGTAAATTAGGAGAGTATGTATCAAAATACCAAAGCATATATTTATTTTAAAAAATAAATATAAATAATATTTTTTTTTTTTTTTTTTAATTTTTCAATAATAATATTTATAAAATTTTCAAAACAATAATATATTATAAAAATATTAATCAATAATATAATATATAATAATACTCATTATATTAAACAATGAGTTTAATTAATATGTCTTTTTTAAATAAAAACTCCAGAACTATTAATAATATAAATAATTATAATATTATTGATGCTTATAAACTGCAAATAAATAAATTAAAAAAATATTTTTCTCCATTAACTGAAGGAAGCTTATACTCTCTTCATGTAAAATATGGTTTAGATTTAGAAACAGCTTTAAAGGAATTCTGTTTGGATATAGACATCACCATTGAGTGTATAAATAATAAAGAGGTTATATACACAATCAAAACACTATTATTAAATGGTTATCCAAATTCAATAAATTTAATAGAATATAGCATAGAAAACATAGATCATGCAATTATTTTTTTATTAAATAAAATGGTAGAAAATAAACCTCTCACCAAACAAAAAAAACAAAGTTTAATGGATTTTAAAATTTATTTAAAAAACAACCAAATTAACTCCATCATTGATCTGGTCAAAGACGCCAAGGCCTTATTTGTTGACTCTGTAGATTTGCTATATTTATTTGAAAGCTATTTCTTGTACTACTGTCTTTTGACCAATGACGAAACAACAATTTTAAAAAATCTTCATAAGTTCAAATCTAGAGAGCTTCTCCTTATTTTCTCAAGTTTTCAAGGAATACCCAGATATGTAGATTTCTTTTTAAAGTGCCAGGACCAATCAAAGCTATTTAACTGTCTAAATGCAGATTTAAGATCTTTAGAATTTAACAAAACCTGTTTAGAAAATTATCTAAATCATGTGTATAAATCCAATCTTACCGAAGAGCAAATGCTAATGATCTTTAAAACAATCATCATACATCAAAGTCCAGAAATAATAAATCACTTTTATATCTATTCAGAAAATATTAATGGTAAATATAGTCATTTAATCAAAAACAATTTCTTTAAAATGGTGATATATCACTCTGACAATAGCTATAATATGGAAGCACCATCCAAACTTGATGTCATAATTTCAAGTCTTCTAATGGATAAAAGAGAAAACAAATCTTTAGCTCTACAAATCAACAATGATATCAATGAACTTGAAGTAACATATTTCAGACAAAACAGCGCCCAATTTACAAATAACCTATTATATATTGTATCTAAAAATAAAGAAGTCAGCTTTTTAATAGAAGTTATCAAAAATGTAATTTCATCATCCCAATTTTTTGAAATAGATGAAGCAATCAATTTCTATAAAAAACTAGATCAAGATCTAATGGTATCAGTATTTAAAAACCAAAAAAACCGATTCTATTTTAAAAAGTCCAGTCTATTAGTTTCCTGTTTAATTACTTCAATGGTTAATAATGATAGAAAAACAATTTGCAATATCATATCTTCAACATTCTCAAATAATATTGATATTGAAATTCCAGGACATATATACGAATGCTACCATATATTAGAGTTTTTAATCGCTAATGGTTATCTAAAAGAATTTGATTTAGAATTTTTAATAACTCAAGTAATAAGATTGGATAAATTTAATAAAGATCAATTTATCGAATTTTTATCAATAAATTTAAAAGAAAATAGCAATGATTTTAGTTTTTTAAAAACTATTATTCCTGTTATTCATTTGGATATTCCAACAATTTTGGACAAAGATAATAATAGTAACAATAATAATAATGATAATGATGAATTTTTGTATGAAGATGATTTCTATGGTTCCGAGGGTGAAGACAATGAAGATTATGAAGATAGTGAAAATGAAGAAACAAATACCCCCAATTTTATTGTAGGTGAAGAAGATGAAGATAGTGAAAATGAAGAAACAAATACCCAAAATTTTATTGTAGGCGAAGAAGAAACAAACACCCCCAATTTTATTGTAGGCGAAGAAGATTATATTAATGATGAACCAGCAGATGAAAGTGTTATATCATTATATAAAAATATGGAAAATTTAAAATTTAAAAAATAAAAACAATTAAAATAAACTAATTTTTATAAATAAAATAATTTATTGTTCGACTTTTATTTATTTTATTATATATATATACTAATCAGATTCAGGCTCTCCATCATCCAAATTAATTTTCTTTTTTAAATCTTCTGTTGAGGTTGAGGCGTCAACATTATCGACATTTGCCTCAAATTCATTCATGTCTAAATCTGTATGTATTGTATTTTCCTTTGTTTCTTCTTCTTTCTTTTTATGTTTACATCTATCACTTTTTTTAATAATAAAGTATATTATAATTGATGAAGAAAAAATTGCCAATGGAATACCTATTGATAAAACAATAACCAATACCAATTTATTGTTATCTCTTGTTAGTTTGCCAATATCTATGTGTGTTTCGTTAGAGTTGTATTTATTATTGCCACTATGGTCATTTGAAGTATAAAAATCATCATCATTACTTCCATCATAGCTTGTATTTGAATAAACAATTGAACCTTGTTCCAGAATAAATTTATTAGGAATTGAACTATTAAATAAATATAAGGTTGTGTTAAATGCTATTACTGGATGATGGGACTGTATTTCACTATTTGAAATTATTACTGAATATGGGAATGGGGCACTAATTGCATCGGAAAACTCTTTACCCACAAGAGTTTGGTAAAATCTTATTCTACAATTTGAATTTGCATATAAAAGTTTAAAGTTTTGTGTATGATTACTTTCGAAATAAGAATTATCTGTGAATACTGAATATCCAATAGATATATAATTATTGTCCATGCTATAGTCCACATCTTGTCCCTTTTTTGTTGCATTAATATTTAATATAAAAACATCGTTATTATCGCCCAAGCTATTTGATTTGAAAATATTATTTTTAAAATTTAAATATTTCATTCTATAATGTATTTTTGTATTTAGTTTTATATCATTAGATATATAAAAAAATTGATTTACTGTGTTGTTAAAAACATCTAATTTATCGATCGACACATCAACATCATTAATTATATTTATAAATTGATTTTTTATAATATTATTATAGATACTTGTATTTGAAAATTTTATCAATGCTCTGTTTTGAATTAATAAAAATGGTTTCCTTCCAAAACGTGAATTTTTGATAATTGAGTTTATAAAATAAATATCGGTCCAACTAGTTTCTATAATACTGAGTTTATCATTATTTGGGTAGTATTTGTTCATACTAAATTTGCTATTGATCTCATCAAATATGCATGATATAAAATATAGTTTTTTATGAACTAATTCAATTAGGCTATTTGAAAACCTGATTGTTTTAACAATTGAGTTTGAGTTATTGAAGATACAATTTGTAAATTCGAATGTTCTATTAAAACCAATTGAATTTTCTTGCAAATTTACTTTTAGTATTGAATGTCTATTCCAATTAATAAAATTGAAATAATTCATCGAAAATGTAATATTGCTACATTTATAATATATAATTTCTTCATTTGTCGTTAAAAAATCTTGAGTTGCATTTTTTCCATTGATCGTTACTATTGGAACACTTGTTTTTATTGGTTTTAAATTATTATCGACAATTACAAAATTTATATTACAAAAATAATTTAGTTGGCCCAATGAATCATTTTCGACAATTATTTCATTTTCACCTTCACTATGAACAATTAAAAATGAAATAAAATCGCCAATTTTATCATATACAATTTCCAAATCTGATGAAACTTTTCCTGCATCGCTAAAAGATTTACATGGTGGATAGATTTGTTTTTTATCATTATCTAACAACCCACACAATGTGTTATTATATTGAATATTGGAATTAATATCTATTACTATATAATATGAATGAACGTTATTTATTAATTGCAATATTAAAAGAATAATAAAAAAATAATTAAAATTACAACAACACATAATTATTTTTTTTTTTTTCTTTTTTTTTTTTTATTTATTATTTATTTTATCCATTAATAAAAAAAAAGGGAACAAAAAATACAATAAAAAGATAAATCACATCAACAAAGTCAATTTAAAAGGAAAGAAAAAAAAAAACAATTAAATTTCTATTTTTTTTTTTAGTTGAGAAAAAAAAAAAATAATAAAAAATAATAAAAAAATATAAAATATTATTTTCCTAAATAAATATTACAAAAATAAATTAAAATTAAATAAAAAGTATGTAATATCAAAATTAAAACAGATTTTAGTAGTAGTGGGGAATATGTATGGGGTGTATGTTTTAAATTATTGTTATTTTTATATTGTTTGTGGTTTTTTTTTAATTTTAAATTTTTATATAATATCTATTTTGTGTGGGTTAAATACTTTCATATTATTTGTTTGTAATTTATAATATTATTAACATAATTTTTTAACACCATTATTTTTATTACTAATTTTTATATTATAAAATTAATATTGACATTATCTTTAGAAAAAAAAAAAAAAACATATAAAACAAGCTTATGCATCATTAAAAAAAATAAATAATACCAAAAATAAGATCCATCTTAAATAAACAGTTTTTTTTAACATATAACCTATATTATAACCTAAATTATGTTAAAACCAATAAAAATCTTTTCTAAAACTCAAAAAAAAAAATAATTAATAAATATTTTTCTAAAAATTCAAAACAAAAATCCAATAAAACTATTTTATTTCATTTCTCCAGTAGTATCAAAAATCGATAATATCGGAATAATTTTTAAAAAACAATTATTCATTTAATAAAATTAATAAAATTATATCTATATTTATTTAATTTTAAAATGGTTTAATTTTATAATAGATAGAGTTTGATGAAATAATAGTATTTTTAAACATGGAGATTCGATATAAATTTTAGAGGTTATAAATCATGACATAAATCTATTTTGTAAACTATATCATTATAATAAAAATTAATAAAAATAAATAAAATAAAAGTCAAATTTAATCGTTGACCTAATAAAAAAATAATAAACACAATGATTGTACCTAAAAATAAAATTGTTATTTTTTTTTTTTTTTATTTTACATTTTAATTTTTTATATAATTTAATTTAATAATTTATTTTTAATTTATGTATATATGGAACTACGTATATTGTTGTCTAATAATTATTTAAATTTTTTTGTTGAATCTATTAAAAGTGGAAGAGAGTTAATATCAAAAGTTTGTCTCCAATTTGATTCTAAAGCTTTCTTTAATACCATTGGTAATGGATCTGGTGATAAACTAAAAGAAAAATAAAAATATTAGAAATCTAACCTAATAAATATCATACAACAAATATATTAAATACATACTTATCTGGGGTAAATGATTCTAATAACTGTTTAATTTGATGAAGATTTAGTTTTTGGAAAATGGATTTAATTGCATCTATATCAACGAAAACATTTTTATCGATAACTAAAAGATTTGAGGCTTCATGAGAAGAATCTAATTGCTGGCTTGCTGATTTATATGGGGTTTGTGAGCACCATTCCTTTAAACGGGATACACCCATCTTAACTTCTAAACCTTGGGTGGTAGTACAAACTTTAGAATTGCTTAAAAGATAATTTGTAATTTGAGCATTCATAAAGTAAAAGACTTGATTCAAGAATTGACTTGAGATTGAATCAAAAATTCTACCCTCTTTAAGGAAAGTAATAACACCATCTAAAATTGATAATAAATTATTAATTGAATTACCTGATGATGAATTTTTAGTTGAATTTGGTGAACTTGAATTTTTAGAAATTGGTGATCTATTATAAAATGAAAATTGTAATATTAATATATATACATCATATTTATTAAAAAAATAAAATAATACTTACTTTTGAGCTTCTAAAATAATACTATCTGGTAAGAAAACTGATGAAATTAAAACCTTTTCTAATTTGATTTCTGTTACTGATAATAATTTGCTATAAATTGATAAATTTAAAGATTGAAGATCTCTAATAAAAGATCCACCAATTTCAGGAGCTGGTGTAACAAAATTATTTACAGAAATTTCAACACCAGATTTTAATGGATTAGAGGATTCTTGAGTATAACCAGCTTGATTAATCTTATACAAGATATAAGAGACTGTGGAGAACCAATAAGAGATAAATTTACAATCATTACCGGATCTAAGGAAGGATTTCTCTAAAGCAGTAACAATTTTAGTGAGCATTCTTTGATTTTTAGCGTTTGCTAAACCTCCAATGCTATCTACCATTTGCCAAACGTTGTTACCACAATGTGGAACATTATTTCTATCGAAATCTAATTCAGACCAATAAATTGATTGCTCAATATTTTTATTTTCTTCCATTTCTTTCTTTATATCTTCGACCTCTGCAACACCGGTGGCAGTGCTGTTCATACTTCTAGCAGACATTGGTGAACCTGGAACTGAAAGTCTTTGTTGCTCTACGTTGACTCTTAAATCTTGTAACTCTTGTGAGATTTCATCATTCTTGAGATTTAATTCCTCTAATTGTTCTTTTAATGATTTAACTTTATCTTGTTCTTTTTCATATAAATTTTCATATCTTTCAATATTCTTTTTATGATTTTCAATCTCTTCGAATAAGTGACTATCATCTTTAGTAGTTGGAACTGGTACAGTTATTGGAACCATTGATTCTTGTCTTTCCTTTAATCTTTCAATCTCTTGTTTTAATTGATTATTTTCATTTACTAATTTTTCAACTTCAGCAGCTTCATTACCTGATGAACCTTGTTGTGACGTTAATCTTTCTATCTCGTCGTGTTTAGATTGAATAGTTTCCTCCATTTTAATTTTAATATCAATCCATTCATCTTGCTTTTGTTCTAAATCTTCTTTAAGAGCTTTAATTTTTTCTTTTTGATATTGAATCTTTTCTTTAAATTCTTCGACTTCATCATTGTCACTATCTGATGATTCATCATCACTACCTTTTTTATTTGATAATTGTTCTTGAGCTTCGGTCAATTCAGAATGTAATTTTTCTTTCTCTTCTTTTGAAGATTCTAAATCTTTTTCTAATTGAGAAATTAAATCTTGATATTCAATGATAATCTTTTGTTTAGAATCGGACTCTAACTGATATGAAACAACTTGAGACTTTAATTGACTATTTTCATCTTGAATTGAGTTGTTTTCATTAGTTTCATGAATTAATTTAGATTTTAGGGTTTCTAATTGATTTGTAAGTTCCTCGATCTCTTGTTGTTGTTCACCTAAATTGGATGACTCTTGAATGGAACTCTTTTGTTTTTCTTCCAATTGTTCAATTTGAACTTTTTGGTTAGTGCATAATACTTTATATGTATCCTTTTTATTTTTAAGTTTATCGAATTTCTCTTTTAATTGTTCATATTCTTCTGATGATGACTGTAATTGCTGTACTTGATTTTGAACTGATTCAAATTCTTTTGCCATTTGATTCTTTTCATTTTCATATAATGAGGAGACTTCTTTGGCAGCTAATATATCAGCCTCTCTATCTTTAATAATTTGATCTTTTTCTTCTAACTCTACTTGTAATTGTTTGATTTTACTTTCAAATTCTTGGTTACCATCTTGAGAGTTTAGTTGAGCTTCATTTAATTTGGATTCTAATGATTCGATAGTTGATTTTAATTGTTCGATTTCGTTGGTATATTGTTGTTGACGTTCTAAAATTTGAGCTTCAAATACTTTGATCTCTTGAGTTAAATTAGAGATTTCTTGTTCTTTTTCTTGTAACTTTAATGTGACTTCTTGGTTTTCTGAGCTATTTGATGACTCTTCGAATTGTTTTAATTTATCTTGTAATGATTTAATTTCGTTATTCTTTTCATCTAGCTGACCTGTCTTTTCGTCTAATTGAATTGATTTTTCCTCTAACTGATCTTCAGTTTCTTTAAATAATGATTCTTTAGCGGTTAATTTATCTTTAAGTTGAACAACTTCATCTTGAAGCTCTCTTTGCTTTTGTTCTTGTTCCTCTGAAGCTGAAGCGGCAGATGATTCATTTGATTTTTCGGCAACTGCTAATTTTTCTTTTAATTCTTCAAGTTCCTTTTCCAATTGTTCGTAGTTTGTTAACTTTTGTTTTAATTCACCAACCTCGGCAGATATCTTGAGCTTTTCCTTTTCAAAATCTTCTAATTGTAAATGAATTGTACGTTCATAGTGTTCTAAACGTTGTTGAAGGTTAGCTTTTTCTTGTTCAATACGATTAATATTTGATTCACTTGAATTTGATTTTAATCTTTCTTGTTCTAATTGAATGAATTGGCTTCTATTTTCTTCGGTAGTTTGAGCGATTTGTCCTCTAAGTTGGTTCAATTCCAAATGGAGGTTTTGAACAGTGGCAAGTGCATTTTGAAGCTCTTCAGGTTTATTTGATGATGATTCTCTTAATTGAGCCTCTAAGTTTCTAACTGTGCCATTAAGTTGAGTATTTTCGTTACGGATGGTGTTTAATTGAGAATTTACTGTAATAAGTTGATTTTGTAATACTGTGACTTGGTTTGAATCTTGAGATGATTGATTACGCTCTCTTTGAAGCTGAATCTTTAAATTTTCATTATCTTTATTGATAGCGGCTAATTTATCATTCAATGTATCAATTTGCTTTGTATAATCTGCAATTACGCCGTTACCAACTGATTTTGAACGATCCTTGATTGTTTCCATATCATCTAACATTTTCTTTATTTCTTCAACTTTTTCATCTCTGTCTTTGGTTAAACCGTTGCATGCAGTTTTGGTTTTCTCTAAATCTGCAGTTAACTGTTTAATTTGTTTTTTATATTTTTTAAGCTTTAAATTTGCTGCAGCTAATGTTAAATCCTTTTCTGATGATTCTTTAATTAATGGTAATGGTGTTGTAGTTGTAGTTGAAGTTGTGCTATCACTATGTGTATCTTTTGATGGAGTACCACTGCCACTATGTAATGATTCTTTATCGATTGAACTTGAACTACTCTTTCTTGATAAAGTTGAAACATTTGATTTATCATTAGAGTCATCATCAAAATCGACATGTTCTTCTTCGTTCTAATTATAAAAAATAATGAAAACCGTTAATATATAACTTTAATGTATATTTATATTTGAATTAACTATACATACATCAGAATCATGGTCACCGAAATCAGTTTGATCAGGTTCACTCATATCTTGTTCGGTTTGGAGGAAATAATCATTACCTTCATGTGAGAATTTTTGTTTACCAAGCTCTTGAAGAATTTCTTTTTGATTACCTTCAGCCTTGACTAATGATTTACCATTTACTCTTAACCATGATGATTGAATAGATAACTAAATATTTAAAATGATATTAATATTGTGTTTTATATAAAAATAATTATTTTACTACTTACATATAAATTGCAAACTACTTTAGTTTTATCTTGAATTGGGAATGGATGTGTTTTTTCGGTTTTACTTTCAGCATATTGAGCTAAATTTACACTAATAGTACCAAGGAGATTTGGTTTTTTACCAATTTTTTCTTCTTTGACTGTAAAGAGTATAGTTTTTTCCAAAAAACCCTTTGGAGTTTTAGTGATGGTTGCATTAATATTTAAGTTGTGATCTACAATAGCCTCTCCTTCTCTTGGAATAGTTTTAAGTTCACCAGTATTTTCTTTTTTGCTGCCTCTTTTCCAAGATATTAATAATGGTGCATAACTACTCTTTGATAATCCTGTAACCTTAACAATTTTAATTTGATAACTGATTTTAATATCCTCTTTACTACCACTTGGTGATACTGTAAGATTATTTTTTAATTTATCCTTAAAATTCATTTTTTATTTTTTTATTATAATTATTATTATTATTATAGTTATTATTTAATATATGTAAATAAAAGTTATTAAAAAAAATAAATAAAAATAAAAACAAATTTTCTTTAAAAATAATTATCGAAAAAAAAAAATATAATTTTATTATTAATTAATTTGTTTAGTGTGTATAATTATTTTATTTATTTAACGCAGAATTTACACTATATAGATCTATTAAAAATACAAAATATATAAAAATAAAATAATCAAATAATAAATACAAATAATAAAATATAATATAATATTAATATAACAACACGGTATGTGCAGTATTGTTTTATAAAATAATAAAATAAAAAAATATGGTGTGTGTTGGTGATTTTTGAAAAAAAATTAAAAAAAATAATTAAAAAAAAAAAAAAATTAAATAAAAATTAAATAAATTATTTTTTTGATATCTATTAAAAAAAAAAAAAAAAAAAAAAATTTAGATTTCTTTCGGTTTATGGTCGAATTGAAATTAAAGAATTTGGCATTTAATTTGATAACATATAAAATAATTGTTTTTTTGGTTAATGTGTTGAATATAAATTTTTTTTTTTTTTTTTTTTTTTTTTTTTTTTTTAATTATACAGGGATAAATACTGAATATTACTATTTTTATATAAATTATTTTTATAGTTTTTTTATTTATTTATTTATTTATTTATATTGAAGTTATTACTTTTAATATTTTAATATTTAAAATTTTTTTTTTTTTTAATTTTTTTATTATTATTATTATTTATTTATTTATTTATAAACCATGGTCTGATTCAAGTTTAAGTACTTTTAAATGCTCTTCAGTGCACATTGCTGGAGTTCTAAATTTGATGGTATATTCACATTTACCAGGTTCGTTGACATCGTATAATTCATTTTCAGAGCCACATTCCATGAATACTTTAATTGAACGTTTTGGACCACCCCAACATTGTTGACCATTTTCAAATACCATTTGATTATGACCATCTTTCCAACTTTCGAATTTACCTAAGCTTGTGTGACCTTGTGAAGCTTTGTCGAATGGACATACAGTGTAGGTATATTCTTTGGTTTTGAAATCAAAGCATTTACCATTTAATGGAAGGAAAACATTATTGACACCTGTATCATAACCTAAAACTTTTTCAATCTTTTCAATTTCATCTTGTTTTTGTTTTAAACTACTCTTTTTATTTGATAATTCATTTTCTAATCCTTCAAGATCTATAATAAAAAGGAAAATTAGTACAAGTTATTTTTTTTTATTTTGTTTTTTTTAAAATGATTATAAAGGTAGTTATTATTATTAATATTATTGTTATTGATATTATTATTTTGAATGTTAATAATCATTTTTAATTGGAATTTTGATAAACTACCCATATCTTTAAATGAAACAAAACTATTTGGTAAAAATGGAACAATAAGTTTATAAAAAGAATCCAATATAGATTTATTTTCTGAATTATCATTGTCTTTTCTGATGGTGTTTATGTTGTTATTGTTGTTATTATTATTGTTGTGATTGTTATTGTTTTCATTATCTTTACCTTTTTTTTTTTTTGATAATTTTTTTGGTTTGGAATTTAGAAAGTAAAGAAAAGTAAATTATATATTTAGTAAAATTGCAATATTAAAAGAAAAGGTTATTGTTATTATTATATTGGTATTATTATTATTGTAATTACCTTTTGAAACAGTTTCTAAAAGTTCAGAGGTTAATTTTTCTTCAACAGTTGGTTTTAAATCTTCATCGTTGTCGTTATTATTATTATTGCTATCATCATTGCCAACTTTGGCTTCACCTTCAACAGTTTCTTCAGTATTAGTTGGGGTTGGGGTTGCTTCTTCTTTTTGAGTATCTTTTTGTTTTTCTGCATCTTTTGCATCTTTTAATCTTTTTTCCTCATCATCTTTTTCTGATCTCTTTCTTTCAACTAAAACCTCCAATTCTTTAATTTCAGATTTAATTGGATCAATTTCTTTTTTTAATGTTTCTAAAGTTACAAATTTCTCCTTAATAATTCTTGAGCCTTCTTCTTCCATTTCTTTTTTCTTCTTTAAACCATTTGTATATCTTTCAACTTCTTCATTATGTTTCTTTCTTGTTGCTTCACCTAACTCATTACATTTATTTTCACATTTAATTGATGATTTATATTCATCTGATCCATCACAACAATCTAAAAAATAGTGATTAATATTATTATAAATCTATAGTTTTAATTAAGCAATATATAAATACATACCACAAACACCATCATTTACATAGGATGATGGAATATATGCTCCTTTATGACCTTTGTTTGTGCACCAAAAATGACCATTTGAACATGCTGCAGTACCTGGTTCATCAGTACCATCTGGACAATCACAATAATCATCATTAACTTGAGAAAATGGAATTTCTTTATTTGATCTTAAACAATTAAAAACTTTATTTTCTTTATAAAATTCCAATTCTAAGTAATGTATTGGTAGAAAGTATTAGTTATTGAGTTTTTAGTATTTAAATTATAAAAACAATAAAATCAATAATTTGATTGATCATATATAACTACCTTCTGGAGCAACACCATATTGAGGTGTGATCGATTTTACACTATATGAAAAAGTAAAAATGATAATACATAAATATAATATCACTCTCATTTTTTAATGTATAATATTTTTTATGATTATAAAATGAAATAATTTAAAAAAAAAAATTGAACAGATGGTTTATTTAAAAAAAAAAAAAAATTAAAAAAAATAAAAATAAAAAAAAAAATTTAATAAAATAAAATAAAATTTTTTTTTCCAGTCTTTTTTTTTTTTTACACAAATATTCCCATATTAATATTTAATATGACATATAAAAATAATAAATCTTATTTTTTACTTTTATTTTATTTTCTTTTTTTATTAATCTTAAAATTAAATTAATGTACATTCTGAAAAAAAAAATAATTGGAAAAAAAAAAAATTAGTATAAGAATCAAAAAAAAAAAAAAACAACATTATGATTATATTTACTTTTGCTTGATTTAATGCATGAATCCAAGATTCCATGTCATCTGGCGATTGTGAGGAACAATAAAATACAAATCCTTGGTTTTTAATTTGGAAACAGTTTGTTCTTTTCATATTGGTTGCAATATCAATTTCAGTTTCTGATGATAATACGATAGTTCCACTTAGTTTTGGTTCCTAATTAAATTTAAATTAAATAAATATTAATATTTGTAAATTATTATTGTTATTATTTATTATTAATATTACATTTGGTGTTTTTGAATAGGTTAAAATATTTCTTTTTAATTGGAACCATCTAACATTCCAGTTTCTTCTAATATGACCCTTTTTAATTAAGAAACCTTCTTTGGCTACATCGTTGAGCTTAATGGTGATACCTTGCTGTTTTTGACGCTCGTCATTTTGTTCTTTTTGTAGTTTTAATAATTCTTCTTGTTGTTTTTGTTCTTCAATTTGTTGTTGTTGATATTGATCTAAAAAGCTACCACTATTGCTGCCACTACCGTTACTACTATTTGTACTATTTCTAACACTTCCGCTACCAGTGTTTAATGGTGGTGATATTTTTTCCATTGGATCGCTTAGTGATGCAATTAAGTGGGTTTCATCTTTGATGGATTGACTATTGTATTCATTAAAGTTAAAGTCACCTTTGTTTTGCTCTGCGTTGTTGGTGTTGTTTAATTGGTTTTCTCTAAGTACGTTTTGGATGTATTGAATTGGACAAGTTTTATTTTGAGACAATTGATAGAAATCCATTGTTGGTAATTTATAAACATAATTATGTGGGAATATTCCCTCATCCTTTTTATTACTATTATTATTATTACCATTTATATTTTGTTCATTCTTTTCATTTTCACTAATCTTTTTAACTTTCCACCAACCATCATTAGCTTCATCATGTATATCCACAATGTCGCCCTCTTCTAATGTTAATTCTTCATCTTCTGTTGCTTCGTATCTGTATAGTGCTATACCTTTTGGTAATCCTAAAAAAAAAAAAAAAAAAAAAAAAAAAAATTTATTAATATGATTAAAACTTATTTTAAAATACCATCAATTGTTTTTAAGATTAGGAGTTCATTTTTATATTAATATTAATTACACCTACTTGGATTATTATCTTTGATTACTACAACTATTGGTGATGTCATAATTTTAAAAAGTAAAAAAAAAAAATCTTGGTATTATTTCATAAAATAATTATAATAAACAAAAAAACAAAAAATAAAAAAATGAGTAATTATTATAATAGAGAGAATTAATAAAAATAAATAAAGGGTGGGAAAAATAAAAATAAAAATAAAAAATTTTAAAAAAAATTTTAAAAAATAAAAAAATTTTAAAAAATAAAAAAAAATTAAAATCTATTTCATTTTTATTTTTTTTTTTTTAAGCACAATACTTACGCACGGTTAAATTCAACCTTGGCAAGTGTCAAACCGGAAAAGTTTTTGCAAAATTCAAAATCATTTTTTTTTGATGATGTAACCGCGGTACCAGAAAAATTATAACCTAAATAAATACTTTTAATAAATATTTCATAATAATAATTTCCTATATTGGTAATTGTGATCACAACATAATAAAAATAATAAAAAAATTTTACATTTAAATTTAATTTTACAAAAATAATTTTTTAACTGTATTTTATATTTATTATTATGTTATTGATGTTATTTATATTTGTAATTGATTTATTCATCATCACTTAAGATATCATCTAAATCCCAGTCAATTGTAACTTCACTATTTTTTAACTCGTCGATACCAGCTACTTTAGTTAAAATTGAAGAGTCGTTCATAACATTTAAAATGAAATTAAAACCATTTTGGTTAAATTCGTTTACAATGAAATCTGAACATGCAGTACAATTCTTGTAAGGATTTGAGAATAATGGTAAAGTTTGATAGTGGGAAAGGAAACCACGGAGTTGATGTGGTACAATACCTAATGGAGTTGAGGCTTGTTTATAGACATCAGTGTCGGTTTCTGCAGGAGCTCTACCGCCTAAAGGATGATGAAGAGTTGATATTAAAAGTTCAACAGCGATTGAGGATGCAATCATTGATAAACCTGGTCTTGTAACGGTGCACATTTGATCTAAAGTTCTATCTTTTAATGTATCGGTTGGTGCAATAACATCATTGCAAAAGTAACAACCTAAATCACAACCATCATCAGATTCTTTTTGGGATAAAGCATTTCTAATTCCATGTCTAATAACTAAATAAGAGTCAAATCCAAGTGCTGCATTAATTAAAAGTTTATTATTGGCACGACATAATAAAGTTGGTAACCATCTACTTTCTCTTGAGTCGGTTAGTAAGTAAACTACATCATGTTCTTTAATAAGTTGTTCAAGTTTTTCGAATGTGGCTTTTACATTATCATGTTCGTGTTTGGGTACACTGTGACCTGGCATTGGAATTGAAAATACTTCGGCTTTGGCATTGACTGCTGGGAAAATCTTTTTTAATGCTTCTGCAGCTGCAACTGATTTTTCTTTATTCTTTGGTGTGCAATCGTCAAATGTAAATAATGATTGTCTAACTGGATTACTATATGATACTTTTGAGCTATCTACAAATGTAATATTTCTAACACCCCATGACTAAATAAAAAATAAAATTAATTAATTAATAAATAAATAATTAAAATGATTTTAAAATTTTAATAATTTTCTTTTTTTTTACCATTAAACAACGTGCAACATTGCAACCTAATGTACCTGAACCTAATAATAAGCATTTTGTATCTTTGATGGCTTCTAAATTTAATGATGGCATGACTCTCCATCTCATTAGTTTTAAATTTAAGTCGACAGATTGTGAGGCTAATTTTAGTGGATCCATGGTTGAAGCTAAGGAGATGAATCTGGGAGCAATTTTACCATTGTTGTCTTTTTCCCAACCAACGCTTTTACCAGACCATTCAGGAGTAATGTTACCATCGATTTCGGGTAAAGTTAATGATAGTACAATTGAATTGGTTTCGATTTCACTGGATGATAATGAAACACCTCTAAAGCATACAACTCTAACCCTTTTTATTTGATATTTAACTATTAAATAGATTAAAAAGTTTCTTAATGGCCAACCTGGGTTTGATGGTAATGAGCATGGATCACAAAAACCTACAGTTGGAATATTATCTTCTCTTGATCCATCGTGGGCTTTAAAGTATTCTTCGTTTGCAGTTAATGAGTCTTCAAAATTTTTAATTTCAAATGGTTCATTTTCACTGCCACCTACTAAATAGAAATATTGTGGTACTGGATTGTTCATAAATGTGCTTTTAATTTGATCTTTGTTATAAAACTGTAATAAACTTTTTGTTTCTTCAAATTGTTGGATTGGTTGTGGTGGAAGGAGTGCTGGAATACCAAAAAGATAATAAAATTGATGATTCTTTATATCTGCATATGTTATTAAAATGAATCTGTTTAATAGTGTCATATCTTTATCAACAAATCCTAATACAATATCTGACCATATCTATTGTTTTAAAAATAAATATTAGTATCTAAAACATTAAATGTTGTCTACTACCATTTATAATAAACATACCTTTTTTGAAGCATCTTCAAATAACTTGGTTTTTGGTGATTGTTTAAAATCCTCAGCGGTATTATAGTTTAGCAATGTTCCTGGTACAAGATAGCTTCTATTTGGTACATTATAATAATTTTCATTGTTATTGTTTGATGCATGTGATTTATGTTGTTGTGATTGCTTTAGAGTTTGTTGAAATCCATTGAATTCTAAACAAAGGAATGGATCTAATTGTTGTGATGGTGAGAATGTATAATGCGAGTTTAATGGTATTGGTTCGTCATTTAACTTTAGTACATCTAATTTCTTTGATGATAATTCGTGCCAAAATGAAATGTTTACAAAACTACTAAATTCTTTATATTGTAAAATATTATTTGTTGACATTTTTTTTTTTAATATTGTGTGATAAAAAATAAATTAATTAAAAAAAAAATATTAAAAAATATTTAAAATTTTTTTTTTAAAATTTTTTTTTTTTAATTTTTTTTTTTTTAAATTTTCAGGTAATATTTTTGACATAATCCAAAAATAGTTAAAAATTCATTTCAAAAATAGAGCTTAATTGTTTATTTTTGCATTAATTATTAAAAAGGGAATTGGATTATTATTGTGATTTTTAAAACTACCACTTTTATAAGATTTAATTATTTTCAAAATACACAACAATACCATATTTTATATTGTTTTTAAAAAAATGAAAAAATAACCACAATCATCTATTTTTATCATTTTTTTTTTTATGAATTAATTTTTTTTTAAAATTTAAATTAAAATTTTATTTTTTTAATTTTTGGTTCAACAAAGAACTTTTTTTTTTTCTAATAACATAATAAAATTTTTTTTTTTTTACCCACAAATATTTGTGTATACATAAAATGGAAATATTAAAATTAATAAAAAATGAAACACTTTCAATTTTTTTTTATGAAAAAATTCATATATATTCTGGCAAAATAAATTGCGACATTGCGGTTCAAATCAAAGAAATAGAATATTCAAAAAAAAATAAAAAAATAAAATCAGTGTAAGTATTTATTTAACTGTAGCTATATAATTATCCATAGAAAACTCAAATATTAACTCTGAAAAAGAATTGTAAATGACTATTTATACGAATATAGACTTTTTTTAAATCCTCAAAACATATTAAGAAAAAATTCAATAATACTCATCGAATCCTTGGACTACAATATAAAAAAAAATATCTGTAGACTCTGGATATGGGATTATTCTGAATTAACTTCATTAGATAAACCAATCAGTTTACACTTAATACCCCATCCATGTTTAAAATATAAAAAAATAGTTGACAATAAGGAAATTGTTCATCACAATGAAAATTACAAATCATGTTCAAAAGTAAATTATTTAAAAAGAAAGAAAATATATGACAGTTTAGATGGTAATAATAAAAAGAAAATTAAAACAGATGAGGATGAATTAGCAAAAGTAGATAATACTAGTGTTGATAATACAAAAAATAATAACAACAATAATAATAATAATAATAATTGTAGCAATAATAACAAAAATAATAATAACAATAAAAATAACAGTATCAAAGTCATCAAAGAAACAGAACCTTTTAAATTTATAAAAAAGAAAAATACTCATGAAATTGCAACATATTTATTTAAAGGTTTCAAGGCATATCCAAAAGGAGTTACTTCCCCATCTAATTTTTTTTTTAGATTATTAAATAGTTTCAAATATATAGATAGTGGTTTAATAAATCAAAAAATTGATGAATATTTAATTAGCAATAACAATAATAATAAAATTTTCAAATTATTATCAATTTATATATTTTCACATTTAAATTATTTAGCTAGAAAAGAGAAAACAAAAATTAAAGTTATAAAAGAAATTTATAAAAAAATATTAACAAAAGTTAATAATAAGGAACATATTAAATCAATTCACTCATTTTATAAAAGAATCAATAACAAAGATAAATATTATTCAATAAATAGTGACATTAGTGATTATTTAAAGTTTATTGATCAAATGGTTGAATTAGAAATAAGAAGATATAATATTTATAGTTACCAACTCCAATACTCAACAATAATTCCAATTAAAAATGATATAAACACAAAAACAATAAACTTATTTCTAAATCAAATAAATAATAACAATAATAATAACAACAACCCATACAATAGTAACCAAATCATTAAAGTTTATGACCAAGAGGTTTTCACTTATAAACTTAGAAACTTTTATTTAAAACCAGATTTATATTGCAACAAGAACATATTCAAAAGTGATATAGGAAACAACCCAGAAGAATTCAAATATCATATTCCTTCTTTTAAAAACAATGTTTTTTTCCGTCCACCTCAAAATGGGAATTATTCAATCTCGCCGTCATTAGAATTGTTTAAGTTATGCTTTAGTGTTTTTAGCAGCGGTTTATTTAAAAATTTTGACTGGGGTGAGGAAACCGATGAGACTAGAGTAATAGTTTCAGGTGGCTCTGTTTCTGCATGTCTTGATACACTACCAATCGAAATTAAAAAAGAATTTATCCATTATAAAACAATCGAAAGATATTTATACAAATCAAAAATGCCGGTGTTGTTAGTAAGAAAATTTATGGAAATGGTTTTTGAAAGCTCCCATTTAAAAGAATTACTTTTTAATAGATTCTTTAGTCAAAATTCACCCACCCTTAATAGCGATGTTGATATATGGTTTATTGGGCAAGATTTAAATAATGCCAAAAAGAAACTTTATCAAGCTATTGAAAATATTAAATCAAATTTTAGAGAAGCCAACCCCCTTTCTGAAAATTCATTTTTATATGTTCGGACACCAAATGCATTAACATTCTTTGGAACTTACCCACAGAGAAAAATTCAATTTATCACCAAAATATACAATTCTGTTGATCATTTACTTTCCACATTCGATATAGATTGTGTTAGGGTGTTTTATGATGGTTGCAATGTGTTTATGCATAGAGAATCAATTGACTCCTACAATAAAAGGCAAACTACCTTAAGTCCATTATATAAAACCCAAAAACCCCGAATAACCAAATATTTACTCAGAGGCTTCAATTCATATTTCCAAAATAATACTTCATCTAATAACCTTAGACTTCTATATCAATTAACTGATTCCCATCCTTTTTATGATGAATTCATTGAATTGTCAAAAGAAGGCCTTGGCTTCGCCAAAATGAAAAATATTTTATGTTCTAGGTTCGGAGTTGAAGCAGTTTCTGATGATCCATATTGTTTATTGGGAAATCCAGAATTTTTAAATGAAATATCATTTAAGGAAAAATTAGATATTTTACCAAAAATTTCAATCGAATGTAAAGCTTGTAGAAGACTTTCAATCGAATGTAAAGCTTTTAGAAGACAATTTTTTATGAGGAAATTTTGCTCCCGTGGAGGAGAAAGATGTTCAGGTTTTTATAAATTAGCAGGCACCCATGTGAGTGATGTAAGATTAATTGCACCATATAGATATTCATTAGTACTTGGAGGAAGAACAGGTTTAGGTTTTCAAATTGCTTTTTATCTTTTAGATCTAGGTTTTACAGTATTTATAACATCAAGATTCCCAGAAATTACAAAAAATAAATTTTCTCAACAACAGTTTTCCGATCATTTAAAGAAACTACATATTATAAAAGTCGATTTCAATGATACAGACCAAACTGAAAACTTTATCAAGCATATCAAAACAACAATTCCACAATTAGAATTTTTATTCAATACAATTAAATTTTCAAATAAAAATATAAATTATAACTATTCATCAATTTTTAATCAATTAAAAACACAAGAAGAAAGCATAACAACCAAGAATATAAACAATAATATAGATAATGCAGATAATAATATAAATATTAAAACAAATACTATAGATAGTATAATTGAAAATAATATTAATTTTCATATCAAAATAATTAATAAATATAATTCTGAAACTGATGAATCAACTTCCACAACATCAACTACCAACCAAATGATAAATAATTCAATGGTGTTAACTAATGAATATGTTAACTATATACATTATAAATTACCAAAACTAATAGCTGGCGAATTAATTTCAATAATTAAAAACCAAAAACAAAATAATGAACATTTTTTAAGTATAAATTTTCAAGGAACGGGTGTAATTTTTAACATTATCGGCTACTTAAGATAAAGAATATCATCTTTTTCTTTTGATATAACATTTTTTAAGATCTTTATCGGATACTTAAGATAAAGAATATCATCTTTTTCCAAGTTTTTGGTGCCTCTATTATTATTATGCAGAATTATTGTTTTATCTATTTCATCTCCTTCTTTCCAATTAAAGATCTTAAAAAATGTTATATCAAAAGAAAAGAAAATCAACTTATATTAAAAAGTAAAGGGTCCACTGAAAGTATCTGTTTAGGGATAATGCAACAAGTTTTTAAAAAATTTCAAAAATAAAAATACAGTGCCCGGATTATATATTTAGACCCCCCCAACTTTTTTAAAATGGAAATGATAATTATTGAATTAATAGATCATATTTAATATTTATATAATGACCTCTAAAATAAATCATATTACAAGATATTGGTTTATTTGCTAAAAATTAAAATAAAAAAAAAAAAAAAATAGGGTCTTAATATTTAATCCGTTTTTTCAATTTCAAAAATTTTTTTTGTTTTTTATTTGTTTTTTTTTACAATTATATATAAATGATTATTATTATTTAATATTTAGTATATACTCCATGAGCTTTTAATATGGCATCCATTCGGTCAGGGAGTGATTCATATAATGATTTTATAATTGATTTTTCTATTGAATGAAATGCATCTTGACATACCTGAACTTGGTCTTGTGATACCCTTTCTTTAACAATTGACCAAAGATTTTTAATTATATTAATATCTAGACTGTAGGGTGGTAATGGATAAATTTGTATATTATTTTCTTCTAAATATTGTTTCACTATCTTTGTGTATGAGAACTACAGTTGTCATGACAAATGATTGGCAACCTCTTAGGCACTTTATTTATATCTGCATATTATTCTAAATTTATTTGTGTATCGTTTTTTATAATATCAAGATATTGTTTAGTTCAAAATCCATTTGATAAATGAATAAATAAATTGGACCAAAATAAAGAAAATTTCCCAAAAATATTTAATTAACCCCAAGAAGACCTACCATGGTTATTATTTTTATATTGGAACTTTACCTCATCCACAAACATATAATTTTCTCATTATTCCACAAAAAAATTTATATGCACAACTTCAAAAAAAATCTTTTTCTGCTATTATGTCTAATCAATGAAGGATTCTTAACTTTCTTTTTATATATTATGTTATATCTCTTTAATATAATTCTTACTGACTTGTATGATATTGTTCCAAATCCATTTTGTTCATACCAAATTATACTTTATTTTATATTGTTAAATTTACTATTTTAAAAATTGAAACATAAATCACGTTTATCACGTTCGTCAAACTTTATTTTCTCCCATTAAGTTTACGGTCATTGATTGTGCCTGTTTGTTCTACCATTTCTAATGTATTTGCTACTGTTGATTTATACACTCCAATTTTTTTGCAATTTTTGAGTTCGACTTGTGACCTATGTTTTTATATGATAATATTGAGTATGGAACTTCATCACTTAACCTCATTTTGTTTATTTACTATATATAATTTTTAAACTTATACTAACACTTAATTATTAAATTAATGATAAAAAAAATATAAAAATTTTAAAAATAAAAATGTAAAAAATATAGAAATTTTTTTTTTATTTTTTTTTATTTTACCCACACTCACTCCTAACGATTTATTTTTAAAAATTAATTATTATTGGCGGTAAGGTTCGTCATATATAAATTATTATTGGTAGATCTTATTTTATAAATGATTTAATAAAAGTTGGGGGGGTCTACATATATAATCCGGGCACTGTAATATTACTCTAATTTTCACAAATATTGCAACACATATTAACCTTTCAATTTATATTAGTTTTATAAATTCCTGAAATTGATCATTTAAAAATAAAACCAAAGATCAATAGAACTGAGAAAACTGATAGAGCCCTATAACAAGGTATTTTTAATAAAAATTTTTTATTTATATAATGAAAATCATTTTTATTTAAAATTCTCTAAATTAAAGCAATATTCTCCAAGCTTGAGATTATGCTTATCAATCATTACATAAATATATGTTTATTAAAGCTTGTGAGTTATAATTCTTCCAAAGATATCTTTTAATATGTTACAAGATAATATTTTTTTTCAATTTAATCTTTAATAATTATTTTTTAACAATCTGGATATCTTTTAAATTGTTTAATGAATAATTTCTCATAATTTCTTTAAAATTGATGGTATGAATCCAATTATTTCTTCTTTTTTTAAATTGTTTCATCCATCTTCATAAATTATTTCTATTTTTCAAATTGATATAGGTGATTTTGTTTTATTTATTATAGTTTTTATTTAAACACAATATTATAATAAAAATAAAAAAAATAAGAAAAATAATAAAAAAAAAAGATAAAATTATAAAGATTTAACTTCTTTTTTTTAAGGAAAATAAAAAAAAATGAATGAAGTATTTTTTATATATATTTGCTTTTTATATATTTGAAAAACATTTTGTTTTTTAAAAATATTTTTTTAATTTTTAAAAAAACTATTTTTTCAATAAAAAAATTAAAAAAAAAAAAAATTCATTTTTTAGAAAGAAAAAATTACAAATTTTTGTAATAGAGCTTTTTATATTTGTTTTTATTATTATTTTAACTAATGAAGGAATTTAGTGGTTGATCTTAATTACTTCCAATTATTTCCTTTATATTTTAAACAACCTTCTTTAAATTAAAAGGACATTCATTACACATAAAAAATTATTAAAAATGGTAAAATATAATTATAAATACCTGTTAATCCGCCTATGGTGCCTATACCGCCAGTGGAGCTAAGTGAGGGAATATGCCCTTCATCAAGGTTGTTGATTAAAGTAACAGTTAAACACTAATACTGATAAAGGAATTGAACCTGCATAAAGTGGTTTGTTAAATAATACCAAATTTCATTACTTTTACAAATTAGGGTAGGGAAAATATTAATCATGGGTTGAATTAACATATGGTATACTATTTGGGATTAATGTATAAGAGACTTCTTCCATTATGATCCTGCCAAATGCACCAACTATGGGAACAAGTTCAATATGGTATGACTTATTATGACCACCTTTTTGAAGTTTTTGATCGAAACAATGACTTAATTCCATTATTGAAGATGGTATAATTTTGATGAAATGATTGATTAAATTTGATACCAAATAGTATTCCTACTGTCGATGGAATATGACCAACTTTTAATTGGAGTTAGATTTAGGTTAATTTTCCCAATTTTCTTACTGTTTGTGGGATATTAAAAAAATTGTATTCTTTTTTGAAATTGTTGCCAAATTTTAAACAATCTATAATGACACTATTAATGTCTATATTGATGTATATTTATCTTTGTTTTTGGTTTTTTTATAAAATGAATGAATAAAATTAATATTATTTTTGTCAATATCAGTATTGTTAATTATATTATCTTTTTCTTCAAACATTATATCATCTTGAGATGTTTTAATTTTCTTTTTATGATTACCATCTAAACTGTCATTTATTTTCTTTCTTTTTACCTTTTGAAAAAAATGATTTGTAATTTTCTTTATGAATTATTTCCTTATTATCAACTATTTTTTTACATTTTACACATGGATGGGGTATTAAGTGTAAACTGATTGGTTTATCTAATAGAGTTAATTCATGAGTTTATGACTATTTTTTTTTGAAAGGTATGCCAAGGATTTAATGAGTATAATTGAATTTTTTCTTAATAATTCTTGAGGAGTATTATAAATAAAAAGTCTATATTTGTATAAAAAATCATTTACAATACTATTTCAGAGTTAATATTTGAGTTTTATTTCCGATAATTATTGAGTAATTAGTTTAATACATACATTGATTTTATAATTTTTTTTTTTTTGAATATTCTAAATCTACTATTTGAACGGCTATGTCTTGCTTTTGTGTTTTATGCAGTTGAATTTTTTCATAAAAAAAAATTGAAAGTGATTCATTTTTTATTAATTTTAATGTATCCATACAATTAAATTTAAAATATTTGTTTGGAGGTAAAAAATAAAAAAAAAAATTTTAAAAAAAATTTTAAAAAAAATAAAAATTTTTAAAAAAAATTAAATTTAATTTAATATTAAGAAAATTTAAATTTACAAATAAAATAGTTCGATTAATGGTGAATTTGTAATTGTTGGTGTGTATTTGTATAAATAAAATTTATAAAACCTGTGTTAACATTTGCATCAATCAAATTGAATGGTGAAAAAACATTTAATAAAAATTAAAACTTAAAAAAATATTTAAAAAAATATAGTTATTAAATTATATGAAAATGATATTCATTATATATAAAAAGATATTATATTTATTTATAAAATATTAAATAATAAAAACTATTAATGAGTGAAAATAAACTATTATATTTGGAATTTTATTTTGAAAATTTTAAAAAAATAATAAAAAAAATTAAATGTGTGTGGAGAAAGTAAATAAAAATGATATTTCATTATATATATAAATATTATATATTTATAAAATACAACAAAACTAATAAAAGCATTCTAATAAAAGCAGCACCAAAAAGTTATTTTGAGATTGTGGCAATTTTGGAAGTGAATTTTGTTTGATTTATTTCTAAAAAAAGTGAGTTAAAAATCACAATTAATTATTAAAATATATTATATTTTCATATATCAATAAATATTTTGGGTAAATTGGTAAGTGTAGTGATAATTTGTGTTTTTTTAGAAACTAATATTAGTGTTTATTTTATAAAACTTGGTATGTGTTAATGAATGTGTGTTTTTTTTTTTTTATAGAAATTATTATAAAAGATACTATATTTGTGTTTATTTTATTATAATTAAACAATTTTTGATATAAAATTCATATACATTTTGTATACCCAAAATAAAAAAAATGATATTAAAAAAAAAAAAATTAAAAATTAAATAAAAAATATTTTAAATTAATTTTTTTTAATTTGAAATTATATTTTTATTTTTCATTTACATATTTTATATTGCATATTTTATTCGTTTTAATTTATCATATTTTTTATCGCATTTAATAATTTTTATATCACAACTTTATATATTTTATACATTTTACACTTATTTATATCAATTTCCACATTTATCAATTTTTACAACTTATAAATATCAATTCTTTTATTTTTTTATAATTATATTCAAAATGAAATACAATAAGCAGCATTTAATAGATTTAACAAAAGATTTATCAATAAAATTATATTACGCAAGAGGCTTAAATATTGCCTTCTTTAATGAAGGAATAAAAACAGCCAGAAAAGTTATCAAAGAAATAACAAATTTAGAAATTTTAGCAGGAATAGAAGTTTCCACCATAGAACCAACTACTTTGGTTTTAAATTATTTATTAGTCAACAATAATATAGTCAACGAAGATCAACAAGAATATCAAGAACAACAAGAATATCAAGAACAACAAGAAGAAGATCAAGAACAACAAGAAGGTAAAGAACAAGAAGAAGATCAAGAACAAGAAGAAGATCAAGAACAAGAAGATGATCAAGAACAAGAAGATGATGAACCAATTTACGCTACCCCATCTCCACAACAACAAGAACAAAACCAAGTTCAAGAAGATGAATCATCAGATGGTGATAATGATGACAATGATTATAATTGGAGATGCTACCAAACTCCAATTACCCCACCTCCATCACCACCAAGATCAGATCAAAGCGAACAAGATCAAAATGAGGTCCAAGAACAAGAATTAGTCCTTAATAATCAAGAACAAAATCAAGAACAAGTTAATCAAGAACAAGAAGAAATCCAAATTAATCAAGAACAATCCAATCACCATGAGGAAGAACAAAATGGACAATTCAATAATGAAAATCAAGAAACCGAAGAAAATCAACAATTATCTCATCATAATCAAAATGAAGAACAAGATGCAGAAAGATCCAACCAAAATGTACCATTTTCACAAATTTCAGAACAATCAATGGATGAAGAAGAAATCATTTTTGGATTTATTTATTTAATATATAATAA